GTGTGATGACATAGCGGCAGGATATGCATATGGCATACCAATATTACTATGATGATTGTCGCTTATGCATGCCTAGGCAATGCTCTGTTGACCAACGACAAGAAAGGCACCCCAACCTGGCAAAAAAAAAAAAAACGATTTACAAACGACACTACCATAAAAAAAAACGAAACACAGTTAACTCGTACCTCAATGCAGAGTGAGAGCCACCCAATCATGGGCTATACCCTAAAATTGCATCCTAGAAAATGGCATGCCTACCTACTGCAGCCTTTAAACATCGACATGGGTGTGAAAACTTTCTCTGGGTAATAGCCTGTAACTTACTATGCTATCGCTAAATGCATCCCAGAGCCATCTTACATAATTCCCCATCTAATCCATAATATCCTAGTCCGCCGAGACTTATCACACCCAAACTGGGTTCCACCGTATCACCGCTGTACCTCTGTATCTAACACCAGATAACAATACCAATTAAGACCAATACCATTGCATTGGTTATCCTTAGCATGAATTCCATTTACCATCTCAAGTCTCACCCGGTAGTTGGTACCCTTGTTATCAACAATCCCTAACCCACTAATGAAAACCCCGCTCGGACACGCTCGGACAGAGCCAACATCACCAGCAGCTCATTCTCCACGGGGTACGCCCACCTGGCACACCTTACGCCAGTAACCGTTCACCTGTATGGGAACCACAGTTCAACCAACACCAGGCACCACAAACGGCAATTCTACCAACTCCCTGCACAACCACCGGCCAACACCGCGTGGCCACCAAACCCTACGCCGGCCAGGCCGTGCACTCTGAGCTGCTACACCGAGAAAGCATGAGCTGATTTCACTCACACGGAGTGTAGAATGGCAAAGTCCGGCGCTCCGTTCCAGGGAAGAAACAAAAAACAGTTACAGCTATGTTACACCTAGCAAATACCTACACCCAATCTCCCAAAATCTGAAAAACACACCAAGCCTATTTCTACCAGCAGTCCAAGTTTCGTTGTCTCATCTAACCTTCAAAGAACCTATAATACCGGGCATTTGCCGACCCATTGCTCATCGACCCTCTTCTTACCGTGATAGCATAACATAAACCCAAAAAAACAGACCCCATGCCGAAAATGAAAAAAAAAAATCAGACAGAAACAACAAACCAGTAAAAAATAAGCATAGAAACCCCGAAAGGAAAAAACTTCCTCGTCAATCAATAACATTGATATAAAACCGAACTTATACTCCCCTTGATGTCTTCCAGTTTCCACTGAACACGACCGCAGTAAACGCCAAAACATTTCAGAGCGAGAACACTGCTGACTTGCGTCAGACCGGACGGCTTAGAACAGAGTGACCGCGCAAATGCACTCAAACCCCGCGCCGTCACCGTCACGTGACACAAGTCGCTCCACCAATCAGAGGAGGCCGCCGCCTTAGCGGCCTTGCCGCCCGGGGGCGCAGGCGGCCGCTCGCCTGCCGCCGAACGCTGCTCGCCGAGGCCGGCCCGGCTCCGGGGCCGCCCCAGAGAAGACGCTCGTAGTATCGCGGAAAAACCGGTTATATCTTGTCATATATAACCGGGCGTATTTATCAGCAGTAAATGTTTGTTATTGATCATAACTGCAAGGTTCTGGAATAAAACGGAAAGAGTAAAGGGCAGTCGGTTCATCTTTGGAGTTACGACCACCAGCAGTTAAATACTAATTATATTACGTTGCACGTTCTTCTCTAATCAATCCTTTAACTAATTTAGTCTAATATCAACTTATCAGATACTATACCTTAGATGATTTACTTCAGATGCTGCTACAAACGTACGGAATTTGTTCGATTAACAAGCATCAAAGAAGTCCTTTATCATAGTACGAAACAAATCCCTAACAAAACTGATGCTTAATTAAATAAACGCATGGGTAACAATAACTTGAAGCTAAAAAGCTGTTGATCGATCTGCATTAGAATGTTGTGATGATCCGTTGCAGAAATAGCAATGAGAGTCCTCTTATTTATCAAGAGTATGGTATACTCTTAGTTTTGTCGTTATCATAATATTGTTATAACTAAGCCATGATGACTAGGGTGTGTCATTTTGGGCACTTTTTTCGCAAAACATGGTGCTCCACTGATTTTATCGTGCCCCAGACACGTAGAAACCGTGTGACATTTTTTATTTCCCCCAAATATTAACACCCATGCGGCGCCGACCGCCGACACTTTGGCCTATCTCTCAGCATTAGCGACCTCAGCGCCCCTAGCGGCAATGTTTTGAACTAACACGCCCGCTATGCTTTGTGAGCTTACGATCATCATTAAATGCATTTTACCGAAATGACGCCTTGCTGTTGGCTTGTCTGGCACTCAGAATATTGGTGAAAATGTGATGTTATGCATCTTAAAGCAGGAAATAGTTCTGTGTTAATGTATATTGCATAGTACTACCCCCGATCCCCGTCCTGGTCTGACGGGATACGTACGAGCGCATGTTTATAGTGCCTGCTATTAGGTGTCACATGTTTTTTTTTTTTTGTAGCGTCGTTCACTGCATAGACCCCGGGGAACAGGGGGGGGGGGGCAGTGGGGGCGCTTGCCCCCCCCCCTCCAACTTGAGAGCCGAGTGGGCGCCGCCCCCTCAACATTGATGCAACGATGAAGGATCTCTGCTCACTTTTATGGACCTACAAGTCTGTTTTTATATAAACATCAGCACGAGGTATTTCTCTTGCATGTGAAGTGAATGGTTTCTGCTGACTCGGCATCGATTTAAGAACACCTGCTATTATCATCCCACTTTGATTTTATCTGAACTTGATCATAACTTTGGTAGGTCAGATTTTATACTGGACTATTTTGGTTCCGGATGGTATTTGATTTGGCGTGATGAGAACATTATGACGTACAACGGTGGTAAAGTCGTTGATTGATACAGGTTTACTCGCTCCGGTGGGAGGCAGTAGCGGCGGAACACCTTCAATTAAGTGGAGGGGGGGGGGGCATGGCGACTTTTGGTCCCATTCTTTCCATGCAACGCCCATAGGGCTAATGTTAAAATGCCCAAATCAGAGGGGGCACGGTGCCCCGGTGCCCTCCCCGTTCCGCCGCCTATGGTGGGAGGGCGGCGTGTGGGACTCAGAAGGAGACTAATGGTTTGTGTTGTGCCTTTGGTAGGACCCTCAGTATCACCGATGCAGGACCTTCAGAGCCTCCAATTAGGGGCCTTTAGAGGCACTGGTGTGGGGTCCTCACATACGCCCGTGTGGCCCCTCAGAGGTGCTAGTGTGAATCCCTCATAAGCACCGGTGAGGGTCCTCACAGAATACAGACGCCGTTGTGGACCCTCAGAGACACTGGTGTGGGTCCGTTACATGTGGGTGTGTGGCCCTTAGAGCTGCTGGTGCGAACCCTTTAAAAGTCGGCAGGGGGCCCTCAACGACCGGGGAGGGGGACCTCAGACCGGCAAGGGGCCCACAGAGGCCGGCGGCATCTTCAGAAGCCCTGTGGGGTCCTTAGATACCGACAAGGTACTCTGAGACGCTAGTGCGGCCCTCAGTCTCTGATGTAGGGCCCTCAGAGTTGCAGGTAGGTGGCCGTCAGATATGCTTTTGCCGAACCCTCACAGGCGCAGGTGTGGGTACCTCAGAGCCACCAATATAGGGTTGCATAAATGGTGTGGCACTGGCTTGGGGGACCCTCAGTGGTGTCCTTATGGGCCCTTAGAACCACTGGTGTGGGTCTCTCAGAGGTGCTGGTTGTGAACCCTCAGAGGCCCTGCTGAGGGCCCTCACGGTCTCCGTTATGGGATCCTCAGAAGCCGGCGTAGACCCTGACGGAGATCTTAGTATGGCTACTTAGGGGCTCATGAGGTGCTCTTACGAGACCTGTGAGGTCTTTCTCAGCTGAAATATAGTCAGCGTGGACCCTCAGAGGTCAGTTGGTACCGCAGGGGTCTTTATGGCCGGGTGGGCTCTCAGAAGCACCAGTGAGGGCCCTCAGTCTCACAGTCGTCGTAATGGGGCCGTCTGAGACATTGGTGTGAGGCCATTACTGATTACAGGTTGGCGTAAGGCCCTAGATATGGCCCCTCTTGGGCCGGCAAGGACTCTCAGAGGCACGCTAGCGGCCATAAGAGGCCGGTAAAGGGCCCTCAGAGGCCGCCAGTAGCCTTCAGAAGCCGGCGTGTAACCCTCATGGACAATTTAGTGAGGCTTCTTTGGACTCACGAGGTGCTGTTACGAGCCCTATTCTTTCTGAATCGAAATATGGCCAGCATAGACCCTGAGCGGTAAACTGGTGCCACAGAGCCCCTCCGACCCGAGGGGTCCTCTGAATGCGATAGGGGGGGGGGACTAGATGGCACGTGCCTCCTGGGACCCCCTGACTACGCTACTATTTCATATGCGTCATGTCAGGTATTTTGGGCTTGCACCCCAACTTGAAGAATGTTCCTGGGCCCCTGTGACAATATATTGTATTCATTATAGGTATTCGTCATTAGCTTGCACTCTCTGCAATCTGCCCATACTATTATTTGTCCCTAGACGCGCTTACAGAAAGCAGGGATAAGCCCATACAGTCAACGGCCTGTTAGTTTAGCAAACAGCCGCCAGGGGCGCTAGGGTCGCCTATGTTGTGAGATAGGGCAAACTTCTCTCGCTCGGCGCCGCCTGGGGGTTAAAATTTGCGGGAAATTAACAATGCCACGCCCTTTCCACATGAGTGGAGCACAATAAAATCGATGGAGCACCTTGCATTGCGATTAGTGACACACCCTAATGATGACATCAAATGATTGACATATGACCTCAAAAAGTCGGGACTGTTATAGTGTTGACTGATCTGTAAAAGCCGTCTGATTTGAATGAAATGTGGCATTTGATGTTTCCGACGGGCACACACTCCTTTTCAAACTTTTTTTATGCATTGGTCGTCTCCCAACAGCGACCTACCTCACTCATTTTAGCTCCCATCCGGCCGATTTCTGACCTATTTCGCCTGCCTCCACAGACCAGTCGCCCATTCAGGCGCAGCTGAACGAGATCAACCACCGCTACGACATGGCGGGCACCCGGCTGGCCGACCGGCAGGCGGACATCGACTCGGTGTCTGCCGAGCTGCGCCGCCACCTGGACACGCTGCGACAGCTGCAGCAGGTGCTGGACCGCGCCGAGCGGCAGCTGCCGCGAGACGCCGTCCCTCAGAGCAGGGATGAGGCGGACAAGCAGCTGGCCGCCATCCGCGCTCTGTCTGACGAGCTCTACGAGCGCCAGCCGGCGCTGGACGGTCTGAAGACCCAGGCTGGTGAGCTGCTGCGGCGGCGACCGGGCGCTCCGGGCGCTGACCTCCTGCAGGCCAACCTCACTGATGTTGTCGACCGCTGGAGCGCGCTGCAGGCGAAGCTGAAGGCGCGTCAGAACCACCTGAAGAACAGCAAGCAGTTCTTCGACACCCACGACCAGCTGAACGGCTGGCTGGCGGCTAAGGAGAAGATGCTGACGGTGCTGGGACCGCTGAGCTCCGACCCGCGTCTGGTGCAGATGCAGAGTCAGCAGGTGGCGGTTCTGAGGGACGAGTTTGCCGCTCAGTACCCGACCCTGCAGACGCTGAATACTGTGGGACAGGCGCTCATTGAGGAGGCCGAGCCAGACAGTGCCACCGCCAACAAGGTTAGTGTGTGGGTCGGGAATACATACAGTGCATATATGTATACAGTGTGGGTGGGTCGGGATTAATTTACTCACAACATTTGGCAAAACATAAGATAAAACTTTTACAGACATGCGTTTTTTAACGCAAATTTCACATTTAAACCGAGTGAGATAGGTCTATCCTGATTGACTGAAATACTGTCTTTCGGCAGGTGGGTGACAAACTTCGCAAGACCAACGATAAGTGGGAGGAGCTGATCTCCAAGCTGGAGGATCGCGAGATGAACTTGGACGCCGCCTCGGGCGCCAGCCACCAGTTCAACGACTCGCTAGGTCGGCTGCAGCGAGACCTGCAGAAGATTGGCGACGCCTTCGACGACCTGGTCACCGAGCGCGGCGAGCCGCAGCAGAAGCTGAAGAAGCTGAACCAGCTGCAGCACCAGGTGGACGAGCTGCGACCGCGGCTGGCCGAGCTGGAGACTCTGGGCGAGCAGCTCTGCTCCGTGCTCACAGATCCTTCGGCCAAGACCGAGGTCAAGGACAAGCTGTACCAGCTGGGTCGACAGCAGACGCAGCTGCAGAAGAAGATGGACAACCTGCGCGCCGAGCTGGAGAACTCGCTGAAGGAAGATCGTGAGTTTGAGGACGGCTGTGCCGATGTCCAAGACTGGATCAAGGACTGTGTGGATCGCATGGGCCGACCGCTCAAGGTATCTGCCGATGCCGACAAGCTCGCTCGTCAGGTGGCTGAGTACGAGCCTGTCTACAAGACTGTGACAGACCGAGAACACGAGGTGTTCCTGGTACAACGCAAGGGTCAGGAGCTGATCGCCAAGACCGCCAACAAGCAGGAGGGCAAGACGCTGCAGAAGTTCCTGGACAAGCTGCAGAAGGACTGGGATGCGGTGAAGAAAGAGGCTGTCGGCAGACACACGCGGCTGCAGACTTGTACAGACCTGTGCCGTCGCTACCACACCAACCTAGAGAAGTTCGCGCCGTGGCTCGACAAGGCTGAGGACCGTATGGAGCGCATGCATCCGGTCAGCTTCCAGAAAGCCGAAATCCAGAAACAGCAGCGTGAGGTGCAGGCGTTCAAGAACGATGTCTCGCTGCACTCTGGCGAGCACGAGCAGACCCAGCAGGCGGGCGCAGCTCTACTGGCCGCCACGGATATTGACAAGGAGGGCGTGCAAGATGACCTGCAGCTGCTGGGACAGCGCTGGGAGGCCCTCAACGCGGCCCTGATCAGTCGGCAGCAGGCTCTGGATGATGTCTCGTCCAAGGTTGGCGAGTTCCAGGACCGACTTCGTGACATGGAGCACGGTCTGCAGCGGTGCGAGGACCGCCTGACCTCGCACGACGCCGTGGGTGGCGGCAGAGACCCGCGCATGCTCGGCAGACTGAAGGACCTGCTTCAGGAGGCTGACCAGCTGGGACAGCAGCTGGATCGGCTGCGCTCCACCGCTGACCAGCTGCGCTCCGACGCTCACCAGCTGGGCAGCTCGGCTGATCACGTACAGGACGACGTGGACCGTGTGGACCGCCGGCTGCGCGACCTCCGCGACAAGCTCGACGACCGACACGCGGATCTACAGAGCGCCTCTCACGCTGTCAACGAGGTCAACGAGCGCCTCAAGGGCCTCTCACACGAGCTTGGTCTCCTGGAGGAGGAGCTCGATAACATGGCACCCGTGGCACGTGAGGTCATCATCGTGCAGAAGCAGGTGACCGAGATCTCTGTCTTCCTGGAGAAGGTCGTTCAGGAGCGTCGCCACCTGGATGACGCCGACAGAACCGTCGAAGGACTCGTTAAGGAGGGCTTTGCGTCTGACGCCAAGACTCTCCGTGACCAGCTGGGAGGCATGCGTCGCCAGCTGACAAGAATGGACGATCGCGGAAAGGCGCGTGAGCGCGAAGTGACGGTGGTCCTCACCAAGCTGACCACCTTCTACACGAGCTACGAGGTGGTGGTGGAGGACATCCGCTCCGCCTCGCGAGAAGAGGCTTCGTTCCCTCCGCCGGCCACTGACGTGGAGACGATCCGCCGCCAGCAGCAGCAGTTCAGAGAGTTCAAGGCAGAGCGGGTGGAGACCCTGACGGCTCACGTAGACAGCTGCAACCGCAGCGGCCAGAGCCTGGTGCAGTCGGCTGCGGCCGGCGTCAACACCAGCAGTCTGGAGGGAGACCTCGAGAAGATGAACGACCTCTGGAACGAGCTCAAGGAGAGGGTAAGAAGCGTTATACATAGGCTTCTGAGGCTGTATGTGTATGCTTCATTGCCTTGTGAATTAATTTTGGCGAGCATGACAGGAGAGTAAAACCTGTAAACGGTCCCTGCATAGTGAAGCGTGCCAAACATAAAAGTGGGAAATTTTATGTTATCGGCCTAGTCCAGTAATGTCTCAAATTGATTAATCGGGGCTCTCTGCGATCTACTTAAGAGTTTGACGACTATTTATGTTTTCAGATTCACAACCGGGAGCGTGCGCTCGACGTGGGTCTGCTCCAGTCGGGCAAGTTCCGTGAGGCTTTGGAAGGCCTCCTCCAATGGCTGGCCGACACCGAGGACCTCGTGGCTCACCAGAAGCCGCCCAGCGCCGACTACAAGGTGGTCAAGGCACAGGTGCAGGAGCAGCGCTTCTTGCAGAAGCTGCTGCTCGACCGTCAGGGCTCGGTCAGCTCGTTGTTCGACATGGGCCGCGAGATCGCCAAGAACTGCGCGCCGGCCGAGCGGGCGGAGATCGAGGGACAGCTCCGTGAGCTGACGGAGCGGTTCGATGCTCTCACCGGTCAGGCCGCCGAGAGGATGCAGCAGCTCGAGGACGCCATGAAGGTCAGTGGATTTGGCTAACGCAAAGTGCGAGAATCGGTGGTTGTAATCATGAGGATCCAGCTTTAGGGGTAATGATTTTGCAATCAAAGACACTAAGGCATCTCCATAACAATAAGTTGGTGCTACATCAAAAGTTGCATACTGTTTTTATCTGTTGCGTATGATACAGCTCACTAGCAAGAACGATTATAATCTATGTTTTCTTTTTCTGCAGGTGGCGAAGGAGTACCAGGATAAGAACGGTCCTCTGGTCGAGTGGCTGGAGAAAATGGAAAAGAAGCTCAAGGATATGGAGACCATCCCGACCGACGAGGACAAGATCCAGCGTCGCATCAAGGACCACGATGCGCTTCACCGCGACATCGTCAAGCGCGGCGGCGACTTCGACGAGCTGGCCAACATCGCCACCGTGCTGATGGAGCTGGTAGGAGACGACGAGGCTGCGGCGCTGGCCGACCGTCTGCAGGAGGTCACCGAGCAGTACACCAAGCTGGTGGACGACAGCGAGGCACTCGGACGCCGCCTGCAGGACGCCGGCAAGCAGCTGCGCGCGCTGGTACTCAACTACGAAGACTTCCTGGTGTGGATGGATGAGATGGAGCAGCGGCTCAACAAGTACAAGGTGCTCTCCGTGCACGTTGACCGGCTGCATGAGCAGATGGAGGAACTGACGGACCTCAGTGAGGAGGTCGACAACCACAGGGAGCCGGAGCAGGAGCTGCAGGATATCGGCGCCGACCTGATGCGGCACATCTCCAGCGACGAGGCGCTCCAGCTGAAGGACAAGCTGGACTCGATCAGCCACCGCTACTCCGACCTGGAGACGAAGGCGGCAGCGCTGCTGAAGAACGCCCAGGAGGTACTACCGCTGGTACACGCGTTCCACAAGGCGCACACGAGCCTCAACGACTGGCTGGTGGATACGGAGCAGACGCTGCTCGCCGTCGACACGCTGCCTAGCCCCGACGAGACCGTCGAGCACCTCGAACAGCAGGTAAAGACAACAGTTTTCTCTTCACTGTACTTCTCTCTATTTTTTATTTCACCTCGCTATAGCCGTAATTTTCTTGCTGACGCTAGTTTAGGTATGTCCCTGAGAGCTTCACATAGCCAACCGGTGACGCTCTTTCCGTTCTGACCTCAGGTGCAGGAGTACAAGCCGGTGCTGGACCAGGTGAACCAGGCCGGCCCGCAGCTGTGTCAGATCTCGCCCGGAGAGGGCGCACAGACCATCGAGTCGCTGGTGACGCGAGACAACCGTCGCTTCGAGGCCATCGTCGAACAGGTTCAGCGTAAGGCTGAGCGGCTGCGCCTCACCAAACAGAAGAACATCGAGATCGTCGGCGACATCGACGAGCTCCTAGACTGGTTCAGAGAGGTGAGATTCGATTCTCTTTTCGCTAGTTTTCTTCTGTATTTGACTGCATACAATAGGTACAACATGCATCATGATTCCCGATATTAGACATGCATCCTTTTAAGCTTCATTGAAGCGCTTGAAGTTTGCACACTGTGTGGTTCTTTTTCATCAACGCACTTCTTTCCGTCGCTAGGTCGAAACCCAAATAAAGGAGGCCGAGCCGCCGAGCTCGGATCCGGAGGTCATCCGCATCCAGCTGAAGGAGCACAAGGCGCTCTATGATGACGTCAGCAGCCAGAAGGGCCGCGTGCGTGACGTCATCAGCACTGCTAAGAAACTGATGCGCGATGCCGCTCAGTATGATGATGTCACTGAAATTCGCGAGAAGGTGGAAGACCTGAAGGACACGGTTGACTCGGTGAGTCTTGATTCTGCGTTCAAATTTGAGCTGAACTTGAAATTCGTGTGTCCGTTTCATTTAGAGCGTCTTCTCGCAACAGCGCACAATCAATGTTACTACCTCGTTTATTATATCTTACTCTCTGCGCGTTTCAGGTGAGCAAGCTGTCCTCGGATCGCCTGAGCTCGCTGGAGCAGGCACTTCCACTGGCCGAACACTTCTTCGAGACCCACCTGGGCATCTCGGACTGGCTTGACGAGACTGAAGCGGAGGCTCTGAGGCTGGACATGCCGGCTCTGCGGCCGGACCAGGTGCAGAGACAGCTGGACCGCAACAAACAGCTACTGCAGAGCATCCAGGACCACCGGCCGCTAGTGGACAAACTCAACAAGACCGGCGGCGCCCTCGCCAAGCTCTGCAACGACGAAGAAGCGCAGAAGGTGAGACTGCGCTGGGTGTATGCCCATGGTAGGGAGTGCATGGTGCGCCGTCTTACCGCTGGTGCACTACCCCGTCGCCTTGACTTTTCCAACAAATGAACCCCAACAAAATACTTACGTGTACAGCGGAAGTCAGCACAATGAAAAGCGTGTGCCGTTTTTATCGCCACGGCTGATGATGATTAACTTTAAATTACGTTATCATGACTGTAAGGATTAGTTGCCCCATGCCCCCATGGTATGCAGAGGTCTATGGTTGCCCTAATCATGCGTCACTCTGTCCACAGGTCAACGATATCATCGACACAGACAACACGCGCTACAACGCGCTGCGCACCTCCCTGCGCGAGCGTCAGCAGGCGCTGGAGGAGGCGCTGCAGGAGTGCTCCCAGTTCGCCGACAAGCTGGACGGCATGCTGTCGGCGCTGAAGGACACGGCTGATCAGGTGGACCGCGCTGAGCCCATCTCGGCCCACCCGGACCGCATCCACGACCAGATGGCCGAGAATAACGCCATCATCGACGATCTGGATAAGAGAGAAGTGGCCTTTGAGGCGGTCAAACGCGCCGCCAACGATGTCATCAGCAAGGCCGGCGACGGCGACCCAGCTGTCAAAGGTGCGAGAAGGATTTTGTATTCATTGAAAACTGTGGTTTTCGCTTTGGCGGATTCGAGCTACTGATGCGTTCATGTTCGTGATGCAAGACTGTGAAAATAGGCGTAACGATTTGGGGGTGTAGTCCGTTTCTGTGAAAAGTCTAATGACTGACATCACTTTTTCTCGTTTCAGACATCAAGAAGAAGCTCGGTAACCTCACCAAGCTGTGGGATCACCTGCAGAAGGCCACGGATGACCGCGGCCGCTCGCTGGAAGACGCTCTGGCTATCTCTGAGCGCTTCTGGTCAGAGCTGCAGGGTGTGATGCGCGCACTCAAGGATCTTCAGGAGGCCCTGGGCAACCAGGAGCCGCCGGCTATCCAGCCATCAGCCATCAAGGAACAGCAGAAGGAGCTCCAGGAGATCCGTCAGGGTATCGAGCAGACCAAACCCGAGGTGGAGAAGGTGCGTCGCAGCGGACAGGACTTGATGAAGGTGTGCGGCGCGCCCGAGAAGCCTGAGGTGAAGAAGAACCTGGCTGACCTGGACTCTGCCTGGGATAACATCACGGCCCTGTACGCCCGCCGCGAGGAGAACCTGATCGACGCCATGGAGAAGGCCATGGAGTTCCACGACACGTTGCAGGTGGGGGACGACGTCTGACGTGCATCGTAATTAATTGCGGCAGTTGATCCCCGGATGTCCTGTCAGGAAGTGATTTTCTGCAGGTCCTGTCACGGCACTCTCCATCGATTGTGAGATGGTCTCTATTAAAGGCCTGGCTTCACTATGCGTTTTCTGCGTGCGTTTTTGCAGGTTTGCGTGTTTTGCGTAATATCGTTCTAGGAAAAAAGTTATAAACAATATAATTTTTACTTTGGTTATATACAAAAGCTAATATAACTCTTATGTAACTAAAATTTAAGGTGAAAAACATCACAAAAACGTAATATCGTTCTTTTTTCTAGAACGGTATCACGCAAAACACGCAAACACGCAAAAAACGCACGAAGAAAACGCATAGTGTAGCCAGGCCTTAACGGTATGCTATGCGTTATAGGTAGCAGAATTCGCATCTGTTCGTTATTCAAACCAGCCTTTTGCATCTGACACTATGTGTGCGCGTGCCATCGGTGAACGTAGCATATAGCGAGCGTTGTGTCGGTGCTCGATTATATGCTGCTTCACACTGTTCTGACTCTCTCAGAAACTGGGTTTATGTTGAATGGTTCGTTATCTCACATTGTTCTGTCTTCCGCAGTACCTGGTCGAGTTCCTGGAGGACGCCGAGGAGAGACTGGAAAAGCTCGGACCGGTCGGCTCCGACATCGACGCCGTGAAGAAACAGATCAAGCAGCTCATGGACTTCAAGGGCAAGGTCGATCCCCAAATGGTCAAGGTGGAAGCCCTCAACAGGTAATTACGCATTGATGCTTTTTTCTTCAACTGATCTCTTCATTTATGTTATGGAAGGAAAACGTTAAAATAATATTGTATTATGTGTTGTTAAGACGTTCGACATTTTGACAGTTACCTCTTGTGGTGTGGTTACTCTCAAGCTATGTTATCACAGCGAAGACTCTAATTGTTCAGCTCGTCTGCACAATATTTCGTGGTTCAAACCATACAAAATTACTAACCTATTGCAAGGTGTCTTAATTTGTTGCTCAAGACATGCGTAAACTAATACATTTGTTTCATGTCACTCCGGCAGAAGCATCAGAAGGCAAGTGTGGCTAGTGTGGTTTGCTTAGCTTAGTGTTTTTTTTTTGTGAGTGCTCTTGAATCACGATAAACACCCGTTTTGATTTGAATGGGTGTCATCACATTTTATCGGGCTTAAATGCGTAACATGATTAAATTATGATTTAGAATATGTGCGATGCGATACGCGAAACAGCTAATGCACTTAATGACCAGGATAACACTTGAGATGAAGCATGAATTTTGTACTGCCCATCTACATGTATTTGTGTGGCTCGGTTGCGCTTGACACTGCTTGTTTCGTAGACGAATGCGATAACGAGCCAATTTCGACTGCATGCTAAGAGCTGTCTTTTCAAACTGTGTGTTTGTCGTATCGCTCGCTGTGTGTGCATGTATTAGTTTGTATTTTACCTATAAGTATTATTTTATGATGCGATGATTGCTGATTGCATTATCGAGTGTTGTCTTTATCCTTATGTGTGAAGCATGAAGCCTTTATTCCCACTGTTGAGCGACGGTATTTGAGTTTAAGCCGGGGGAAAATGTCGATATTGCCTTTGTTGATACGGTTATAATATAACGACAGTAGTAGACATAATGATATCTGCTTTGCATTTTCTGTGAATATTTATTTAAAATAACTGACGTTGGAGCTGCTCAGTAATAATCAGTCCTCGGACATTGTCATCCACTTCGCTCCCCCCCCCCCCCCTCCCTCCATGTGTCTCATCACTCCATCTCCCCCATTTGTCCCTAACCATGCCCCCGTCACACCACCACAGACAAGCCCAGGAGTTGATGGAGCGCACGTCGCCGGATCAGGCGGCCGCGCTCAAACAGCCCCTGGCCGACATCAACACTCGCTGGGACGAGCTTCTCAAAGGCATCGTGGAGCGTCAGCGCGAGCTGGACCATGCTCTGCTGCGTCTCGGCCAGTTCCAGCACGCGCTGGACGAGCTCCTTGTCTGGATCGGACGCACCGACAAGACGCTGGACGGCCTGAGGCCGGTGCTTGGCGATCCGCAGGTAGGGGTTCATGTTAGAGATGATGAGAGGTAGGATGCATGAGAGCGGCATTCTGGTTTGGTCGTATAGAAGCTCATGGTATGTGAGTGACGAATATTTTCTTCTGTTCAGTTTGAACTTAAAAGTCCAAGATAACTGAGTTGTAGGCCTACCAACAGCTTATTCAAAAAGCTTGTTCAAATGGGTTACCCAAGCTCAAATGTCTTGTCACATTGATGAACCGGCCCTCTTTCGTCCGTTCACAGGTGATCGAGGTCGAGCTTGCCAAGCTGAAGGTGACGATGAACGACATCCAGGCTCACCAGACGTCTGTCGACACCCTAAACGACGCCGGCAGGCAACTGATCGAGGATGACCGCGACTCGGCTGACGCCAGCGCTACGCACCGCAAGCTCAACCAGCTCAACGACCGCTGGGGCGAGCTGCAGGACAAGGCGACCGGCAAACAGCGCGAGCTCGAGAACGCACTTCGCGACGCGCAGGACTTCATGAACGAGATCCAGGACCTGCTGTTCTGGCTGAATGATCTTGATGGCGCACTGACCACCAGCAAGCCGGTGGGAGGTCTGCCGGAGACGGCCAAGGAGCAGCTGGATCGCTTCATGGAGCTGTACGGAGAGCTAGAGCATAATCGATCTAAAGTGGAAGCGGTGCTGCAGCGCGGAGACACGTTCCTCGGCAAGTCCAAGGAGGGCGCCAGCACCAACCTGAAGCACAACCTCAAGACGCTGAAGCAGCGCTGGGAGCACGTCACCAACCGCGCCAACGACAAGAAGATCAAGCTGGAGATCGCGCTGAAGGAGGCCACAGAGTTCCAGGAAGCGCTCCAGGAGTTCGTGGACTGGCTGACTGGTGCCGAGGGTGTCCTCGGCAACCTCCAGCCGGTCTCTCGCGTCATGGACAACATCATCACCCAGATCGACGAGCACAAGGACTTCCAAAAGGAGGTCAGCTCGCACCGCGAGACCATGCTCAACTTGGACAAGAAGGGCACCCAGCTCAAGTACTTCTCCCAGAAGCAGGACGTCATCCTCATCAAGAACATGCTGGTGTCCGTGCAGCATCGCTGGGAGCGCGTGGTTTCCAAGTCTGCCGACCGAACCCGTGCGCTGGACGTTGGTTACAAGGAGGCTAAGGAGTTCCACGACGCTTGGGCTGACCTCTGCGGCTGGATGGATGATGCGCTGAAGGCTCTGGACAGTGCCGACGCGTCCATGGGCAACAACCCGGCCAAGATCCGCGCCCTGCTGGACAAGCACCGCGAGTTCCAGCGGGCGCTGGGTGGCAAACAGACCGCCTACGACAACGTCATCAAGATGGGCCGCGCGCTCATCAAGGACAAGGCGCCCAAGACCGAGGAGCCCATCATCCGGGACATGCTCAACGAGCTTAAGGACAAGTGGAACGATTGCTGCAACCGGTCGGTGGCGCGCCAGCGGAAGCTGGAGGAGGCTCTCCTGTTCAGCGGCCAGTTCAAGGAGGCGCTGGAGGCGCTGCTGGACTGGCTGAAGAAGCAGCAGGCCGGCCTGGACGACACGGCGCCGGTGCACGGCGACCTGGACACGGTCACGGCACTCTGCGAGCAGCACAAGTCGTTCGAGGCGCAGCTCAAGGACCGGGAGAAGCAGGTGGAGTCGGTCCAGAAGACCGCCGACGAACTCATCAGCAAGGCCGATAAGAAGGACGCCGCCGTCATCAAAACTCAGGTCAGCTGCAGCATGCAGGTCGATACCGCTTAGACGTTGGATTGACATGGGATTTTGAATGGGTGAGGTAACAAAATCGTATAATATGTACCTTAAATGACTATGACATGTTACTTTTCCCATTCTGTAGCATTGAAAATTCTATACATTTTTCCTTGCAAGAAGTGAGAAATGCAATATCTAACAGGTGTCACAGGGTACTGTAGGCAATAGATACCTCAATGATGCATCGATTCCCGCTGTGACACCGTTTGTCTGGGCTGTCCTCCATCCCTCCACTGCAATGCTGACCATGACTGACCTGGGTTTCTTCTCCGGCAGGTGACGGAGCTAACCACGGCCTGGACGCAAGTGGTGCGCTCGTCAGACCAGCGCGGCCGCCGGCTCAAGGACGCGCTCCGAGACGCCGAGGAGCTGCACAAGGCGGTGCACATGCTGCTCGAGTGGCTGTCCGACGCCGAGATGCGGCTGCGCTTCGTCGGCGCGCTGCCCGTCGGCGAGGAGGAGGCTCAGCAGCAGGTGCGCGAGCACGCCAAGTTCCAGCAAGAGCTGGCCGCCAAGGAGGGTGAGAAGGACAACACGCTGCGACTGGCGGCCGAGATCCTCGAGAAGGCGCACCCGGACGCCGTACCGGTCATCAAACACTGGCAGACCATCATCGAGTCGCGCTGGGACGAAGTGAGCAGCTGGGCGCTGCAGCGGCAGGAGCGGCTCGCCGAGCACCTGGCCGGTCTGAAGGACCTTCAGCAGCTGCTGGACGAGCTGCTGCAGTGGGTGCAGCAGCGCGAGCGGCGCATGGTGGAGCTGGAGCCGATCCCCATCCCGGACGAGCTGCCCGTGGTCGAGCAGCTGATCCAGGAGCACCAGGCGTTCATGGAGGACCTGCAGTCGCGACAGGCGGATGTGGATGGCATCTGCAAACCCAAGCACAAGCCGCCAATGAGGAAGGGATCCAGAGCCAAGAGGTGAGTCAGACTTACTGTCGATAGATATAAGGTGATGAAGGTTTTGCCTGGTCACAGTATGATGTGTTGTAAAGTTTCTCCAATTGTGCATTTTACCTCGATCACGCATTGTAAAGGATTCCTCATCCGTTATGAGTGTATCGATCCCGCTCAATAATGGCACCGAAATATGTAAATACGAGTACACACTAAATAATCGATACCGCATACAACATCGATATAGCGGCTTGGGGCTCCATAAGTTAGAGGATCGCTGCTGATGAAACACCTTTGAAGAACACTTAGGAGTCTTGCATGTCCAAAAAAGTCTACCTTTCTTGATCAATACATTTGCACAAAGTTATGCATAAACACTGGCTTGAACTGTGCAAATAGTGGCGTCTGCGTGTCCTGTCATTCGTCATGTTAAAGCTTTGTGCTTACGTCCACCGCTTGGAGCGCTGTATATGTGCCTGCTTTTGTCCGTTTCATGTTTGCACAGCTACGTCCGATATTTGTGAACTTTATCGTGTTCGCCCCCACTGTATGTACGGCCTGTGTATTTAGCTGCCTGTCTGCGACCGTTTCAGTCCGACGCCAGCGTACATGGAGTTCCTTCGTCGCCCAAGGTGCCAAATTCGATCTGACTGACCATTCCTGTAGACTAACGGACCCAATAAAATGCCTAACAATGTTGTAGATGATTAGGTGTAACATGACTGGTTACGGGCGAACCGTACCTATTTCTCGACCAGGTAGTCTCATTTTCAGCTAACCATGTAACATTGAAACTTCGACTCACTGATCTAATGTGCCTAATCAGAGGTCATCCGCTAATCACAAGGCGAAGCTCCTTTTTTCAGTGTCTGTATTTAACAGGTAATTTGTCGAATAGTTCGTTACTCGATAACCACTCTCAGTTCTCATCTACAGGCCATTGGTGCTTTGTCCTGCTACCCCAGACCTATTGTTATAGTATTTTAGGCCTAATGTGTGCAGTAACCGGTAGAATTAGTAATCAATCTTTAACTCTATATTAACCGAAGAACACGGTTTAAAAGCGATTTTTTGTATTGGAACATCAGAGCTCGCCGATTGTAAAGATCATTTTGCGCCCATAACTTCAATTTTAGAGAGCTGACTCGCAAGCATCATTAACTTATTTACCTTGAAGTCATCTTTAAGTTTTAATCAAGCATTAGGAAATGCAATCGCTCGTGACTGACAGTTGCCCTCCCGTTTTCAGCCAAATCACTCCGGATCGCGAGGGAATTCCGGGGCGAAGAAGGTACGTTCTTACCAGAAAGGTTGACGTATTGTCCCGAATTTCCACCAGTAGTGTCCGCATGGCATTCGTAGTGCACGGTCCTCGTCCCCGCATGCTCTGGTGGGACATGATATGATGCTTCGCTGCATGCCTGAAAGAAAAACGCTTGTTATGGTTGAATGAAGCGAAGGAGTTTTCTCGCGCAGAAGAAAGCTTTGAATGGGTTTATAGGAATTTGTCTCGAGTTAGATCTCCATGCGTGATTTGCGGCTTTCACGATAAATGGATGCTTTTCTAGCCGCCAGGAGTCAAAGCAATACGTTTCTACAGTCATCCGTAAAATAATCCACGTGTGACTCACCGTCCCTTCTGCTGATCGCAAAGTAAATAGTGTTGAGGCGCACCCAACAATTAGCTAGCTGAGTGCTTATAAAATGAACCATTGATAAAATAGTCGCTTGAATATGACGTGCGTAACCCACGTTAACAGTATCACGGCACATAGCTACTCATGCTTTTATCCCGTTTAATCTTAGGCATATCCCTGATCCTCCTAACAAATAGGCTATGGTTGATAGCTTAGAGGAACCACTTAGTCCAACAATATAACTCTGTAACTCAATTTAGCTTTACTTGCAATTTCAAACTGCGTCTTGAAGTTACATAACTATTTCAGATCCATTAATGGTGACTCGGAAGTAACACCTCACTCCTAGTGACTAAAACTATGGTTGTTCACAGAGCAATGCCTAATTATCGTGAACATGACATATTGGTCCCATAATTTTCATGGAACATTTATGTTATTAACTCACTATAACGTAAGAAGGGCACCGACGAACCATTGTAGTTTGTACAATACATGACCATGGTTTTGGTGTCCTTGGGGTTCTGGTGAATTGCAGTGGGTATAAAAACATTGGTATGGCGACGCCTGACCTCACTGTGACCCCGTGGTGACCTCTGCGCCGTCCGCGTCTGCCCGCCAGCCGGTACAGTCCCGACAGAGAAATATCGCCCAGTCGCGGCTATGCCAGGCCGTGGCTGAACGCTGCCAGGTACTGCTTCGTAGTCTGTCCTTCTCTAGATGGCTTCCTGCAGGCCTGTTTGGCGCCCTCTAGTATTTTCTATCCGCCAGTTAGAATCTCTCGTAGAGATGTTATAACATAGTGTAGTAGATCGCTTTTCAACAGTTGTCACTTTCTGACAGTGATAGATAAGAATGCCTGTCACAAGCAACCGCGTTATTGAACTTCCTCTACTCAAGACCTTAGATAGATTCGCTTTGCACGTATACTATGCAAATTATTCGGAGATGCATAAATAAATAAGAGAGAAATGCATGCGCTAAAACTGGTAGCAACGTGCTGAATGCGGAACCGGACAGATGCGCTGCTCCTTTTTTGTTCGGTAAACAAGATTGGATATCTCCGTTTAGAGTATTAGTTTAGATCGACGATTCCTACATTCTTCTGGGCACGCAGTTCATTGCCCATATCTCTGCAAGATCGCTTTGCACGCTGCATGTTACCAAACCATGTGCTTCGCCGTTACGTGCATGTCAATTCAGTATTACTATATTTATGTGCACGATAGTTCAGTGCTTCTTTGCATTGTCATCACATGCTCGTTTTATGTACTCGTATGTAAGCACTTTTACCAGAGCTGCTGATAACAGCTTATGTTTTGGCCTTTAGACGTTGTAATTGTGTTCAAATGTTTTTTTTTTCAAGTAGCTAGTGATGCACTGTAGGCTGGATACTGACCCCAGTTGTGTGCCGTGTGCTACTGAATCCGACCCTTTATGTCGTATGCAACCAAGACCGGCGCTGTACCCGGTCCGAGCATGTGCCCTGTGTTCCCTGTGTGCTCCCTGTGTGCTCTCCGTGTGCTCCGTGTGCTGACTGCCGCCCGGCCGGCCGACACGCAGGGCCGGCAGTCCCGGTCGGGAGACCACCCCCGAGTCGAGCTGGCCGCGCATCGGACCCGTGTTCCCCGGCGGCCCGTACCCGCCCGGCAGTCGGCGGCCCAGGTACGTAACTGTAGTACTGTCTCAGTAACGGCAGTCGGCGGCCCAGGTACGTAACTGTACTGTAGTACTGTCTCAGTAACGGCAGTCGGCGGCCCAGGTACGCACGTTACTGTAGTACTGTCTCAGTAACGGCAGTCGGCGGCCCAGGTACGTAACTATCACAGCAGCTCAATAACGGCAGCCGACGGACCAGGTACGTAACTAGTAACCTTACACCGTACCCGCGGCCCAGGTAGGTACTTTTACACCGTACCCGTCTGGCAGTCGGCGGCCCAGGTACGTAACTAGTAACTACACATTACACCGTCTCGAGTAACGGCAGTCGGCGGCCCAGGCACGTAACTGTAGTGCTGTCTCAGTAACGGCAGTCGGCGGCCCGGTACGTAATTACACATTACACCGTCTCAGTAACGGTAGACGGCGGCCAAGGTACGTGCTTATATCTTTGGTATCTTTTCAGAAGCAGCAGCCACTATTTCATCCAAGTATTTTGTTTTTTGTTGTTGTCTAATCTTCGCAGCGCTCACATCCTCAATAAAAGTTTAGCAGCAACCTTACTTGATTTTAGTGGCTTCCAATGCCCGTCTTTCCCATCATTTTGATCTTTTATTTGGGCCTACTTTGCAACCACTAATTTATTTTCCTATTACGTAAACTATATTGTGCCCAATAAAACCGAATTGTGTGTTGATCATTCTGCTGCAGCCTAAGCTATCCGTTCCTCCCTCCCTCTTCAGTCGTCAGAGCATCAGCGAGCCGGCGCCCAAGAACCCCCAGCAGCGCCAGCTGTGGGACACCTGGAGAAACACCTGGATGCTGGCCTGGGAGCGCCAGAAGCGGCTCCAGGACAAGCACAACTACGCCAAAGAGCTGGACAGCCTGCGCAACTTCGACTTCGACGAATGGCGCAAGAGGGTATGTAGAAGAGAAAAATATGCATGATAGTGAAGTGGTTTTTTTTTGTGAGAGAACTGGGAACCGGGATGATTGGCTGGATTCATCGGGTTTGATAAAATCGCATAGTGGAAATTGGGCTTTGATACAGGTTTAATGGTTGGCTGTTTGTGCAGTTTACGTTGCAGTGGGCTATATCCGATCTAAACGAAGGTTTGCTGAATAGAGGACCTGTTTTATCCCGCGGGGACTGTGTGAGATTAACACGTTTGTTGCGGCGTGTTCCAGTTTATGAAGTACGCCAACTCGAAAAAGATGCGCATCACGGACCTATTCCGACGGATGGACGTCGACAACGATGGATTCGTCACAAAGGAGGAATTCAGCGAGGGAATCATGCGAACACGTGAGTACACGTGGGGCGCCGGACACAGGACTCGCACGGCGCAGCGCCGCCGCCCCCGGCAGACTGGGCCCAGCGGTACAGTATACCACTCAAGGCGTTATCGGTGGCGCCATCTAGGGAGGGAAAGAGGAAACCGGCGGGCAATGCAGCACATCATTATTAGAACTTAGAAATGCGTTCTTGTGCTTATGACGATATGAATAAAAATGGGAACTAGTTTGAAAGGTAGTTTAGTCACGTCAGATGAAGTTTTGCTCCATAAGATAATAAATACGTCGCATGTCGCGTAAAACTGACGCGTATCTCCCGTCGATGTAGATTTCCCGACCTCGATGATGGAGATGCAGCTCGTAGCCGATAAGGTCGACCGCAATTCGGACGGTCTAATCGACTACAACGAGTTCATGGCGGCCCTGCGGCCCGACTGGGAGAAAAACCGGCCACTCACCGAAGCCGAAAAGATCGACGACGAAGTGAAGAAGGCCTGCAGCGCGTGCAATTGTCGGCAAAAGTTCAAGGTCTTCCAAGTCGGCGAGGGCAAATACCGGGTAAGTAAAGAACAAGACGCTGCGATGAATGTAGCGTAAATAAGAACGGTTAATGAGATAACGTTTTTCATGTTTGTGCATTACAATGTTTCATTCCCGCATAGTTGCTGTTCCGATACTATGTCTCTCTACGTGACTAAACTTGCTGTCTCTCCTTGAGTTGAGCCCCGGATGTTGAACTGCGAGGCGACCTCTGTGACCTGAGCTTACCGACGTGACCTGTCTGACAGCATCTAGGAGTATGCAACCTGTCTGATCTCCGCCCATCATCCTTCTCAGTTCGGTGACAGCCAGAAGCTGCGTCTGGTCCGCATTCTCCGTTCCACCGTCATGGTTCGTGTCGGCGGCGGCTGGGAGGCACTGGACGAGTTCCTCGTCAAAAACGACCCCTGCAGAGGTGAGAAAAACGCACAACGTCTCACCGTTCATCTCACAGTCACTCACTCAGGCGCAGAGGGGACGTAGGTCACTGTATTATGGTCACGACGCACTTGTGTTTGCAGTGATGGGTGTGCTGGGGTATTCGACAAACGTCGTTTCATGTTGGTACTGGATGAGGAAGAGTGCTGTGCATAATTTGTGCTGATTGCATTGGTCATGCATGGTTTGCAGTGTGACACAGGGCTGTAATTAGCAAGGGTATTATGTTTTCCCACAGCTGTTTAAATGTAGTTTGTGAGCACGTCATGTTCGTCATTAGGCACTATGTATCATACATATATTGACGCTTGCAGCGTGCATATGTGGATATTGTTTGAAGTATACATTGCATGTGCATAATCATATGCATTATGAGATAGCCTCGATACTTCATTACATATTACATATGCATAATGCAAGCATATGCAACGGCCTACAGTATTAAGGAGCGTAGTGAATAACTGACGTACCATAGTTCGCTTCAGTGCGTAGTGTGCCGCTTTACTAACCGGTCCGACTGATGTGTGTAGCCGCTTACTTAAGCTCATTAGATAACTGTAGTATATAGTATACCTGTAGAAGCTGCTAACCAACCCAAAGAACATGAACTAACGGCTTTCTAACTCGTGTTCTCCATTGTCCCTGCTACCCATCCCGTTTCCATCCATGATCATAATTCGCTCATTTTTTCTTCTCCTCTTTCTCTTTCCTCCTCCCCTCTCTCTCTCTCTCTCTCTCTCTCTCTTTCTCTCTCTCCCACCGTTCCCATCCCTCTCCCTCCCCTCCACCTCTCTATTCGCCCCACTCCCCCCTGGCCGGCGGCGCTGCAGCGAGCCGCTCTCTGCGCGACCTCCGTAAGCTGCAGACGCAGCTCCGACAGTCGCACGAGGAGCAGCAACACGACGCCGACTGCCCTCAGAATGATGACCGTAAGCCCGGTGCCGCGCCGTCCTCCGTCCTCTCGTCCGTCCCACGCCGCACGCGGGGAAGATATTGGGCATGTCCAATGGTTGGGTTGTGGTTGCATGCTGGGAATGGGGATGCTTTGAGACAGGTGTGCATGCAGAGATATGGGGAGATGTTTTGGTGGTGATTAGCCTTGCGATTGGTTTCACAGGCTTGCTTCACAGGTTATGTCACAGTGTTACTTCGTGTCCCATGTCGATTCTTTCGTATTTTGAAGGTGCTGGTCCGTCAGACAGCAGGGATATGGTAGCTTATTGATTGGTCGTTTTAACACTGCAATGCTTTTGACGTTGGATTGCAACGCATCTTAGGTAAAGGTGCATGTTTTGCCTTGTATCATCACGGAACGCTACAGGCATATCCGAGGTTTTCAAAGTAGAATGGTCAAGTCCGAGTGAGCTGGGTGTCGGTAATGCATGTGATATTTTACCAAACAAATGGTATGAACACCGCCGTGTTTGTTGTTTACTTATAGATAGCATATTAAGTATTAACACCTATGTGTTTTTATCAGTTCTAGTTTTGGATTCGTGTGAACTTTTCCCTTTCGTTTAAAATCAATGCGTTTCGTTTTCATAACACATTAACCCATTGTTTTGTTTCCTTTTGTTTGTGTTCTGGCATGTCGTGCCGTGTGTTTCCCGTTCCGTGCACGTGCCCGTGCCGTGTGCTGTGGCCCGCTCTGACCCGGCGCCGTACGACAGCCAAGGGACGCACCAACGTCGAGCTGCGAGAACAGTTCATCCTGGCGCCGGGCGTCTCGCAGTCGCTGGCGCCGTTCAAGTCCAAGGCGGGCAGTCCGTCTCCTCGCTCAGTGTCAGTACCGACGGCCGGTCCCATCACCAAGGTACGTACCCCCGCCCGCCCCGGAGGTACCGGGTACCCGTGCGGTACCACTCAGTGTCGTATGTGGCGTCTGTTACAGCCGCCTACTTCATGTCACAACTGATGCCGATCTTTGAGAGTATTCGTCACAAGGAGAGCCTGCCGTGCACCTATCCGATCAAAGTGGAGCGGCCGGCGGCGTTCCTCAGGGTAACGCGTGATCTCATTGGCGGAGACAGCTTGGCTGATCATATCGCGTGCTGTGATTGGCGGAGCCAGCCGTACCGCGTGCTGTGATTGGTTGTTGCTGTGATTGGTTGTCATGCCTGATGCTCGTGGGAGGGTTGAGTGAAGACTCAACCCTCCAACCCTACATAGTAGTGTGTTTGCCCGCATGGGGTAGATTTTTCAGCATGACTGACCAGACATCCCCGATATAGCGATATGTTAACGTTTTGTCGAGCTGTGCAACTGACAACAACGCAACATCTATTACGATGAAAAGTCAACCTACGTATGGCTCGCCATACAAGAATGCTTGCTGTCAAGGATAGTTGAGCAAAAATGTAATGTGTGGAGTGTATTTACTGATGATAAAATCAAAGGCCCAAACTTACCCAAAATAATTGAATTTTAATGTTTGAGTGTGCGTGTATTACTAATCTAACCTTGAAGTAATGACCATTTTACTGCAAAAAGAACGTAGTCAAAATAGTAAGTCATATGTAGTCATTGACACCGACCTCCCTCAGTCTCATCAGGTATGGTATTTAAACGTCAAACCGTCCTACGAATCGGCAACACTAACTCGCAAGACGATTAGTCTGAAGCTCAGTTTTGTATCACGAGATAATCGATGGTTACATGACTACTGCCAACGTTACAAACAATTGCCGCAGCTCACAGTCCTCTTGGTCTGATGACCTGTGACCCCGCCGTGAGCACCCCTCCTCCCACACTTGTCTAACCCCTTCCCCCGCTCTCCCGTCAGGTCCGTGAGAAGACGGGCCGCAGTATCCCGCTGTCGCGCGCCTCCCTCTCCGGCCCGCCGATGGCCTCCGGTGAGCAGTTCGGCTCCCAGGAGGGTTTCCGACTCCGTAAGGGCAGCACACCTCTGCGCAGCTCGCAGGGCGGCAGTCGGCCGGCGAGCCGGGCTGGCTCGGAGGCTAGCCTGGACTCTGTGGACGGCGGTCGGCCCAGCTACCGGCCCGGCTCCGGAACACCGGCCCACTCGGGACGGCAGAGGAAGGTGGGTGAAGAGGGCGGCCGTCGTGGTAATGCCAGAGCGGGCCGGCAGAGGAAGGTGGGTGGAGGGGGCGGCCGTCGTGGTAATGTCAGAGCGGGCCCACTCGGGACGGCAGAGGAAGGTGGGTGGAGGGGGCGGCCGTCGTGGTAATGTCAGAGCGGGCCCACTCGAGACGGCAGAGGAAGGTGGGTGCTGGGGGGAGAGAGGTCGGTAATCGGGGCAGTGTCTGATAGAGGAGCGGGCCCGCTCGGGATAAAGGTGGGTGTAGAGGGGGTAGAGGGGGCCATCGGGGCTATTTCAGATAGAGGAGCGGACGCACTCTGGATGCTCATAGCGATCTGTGATCAGGCATATGGTCAAACACATAGCAGCAATTGGTTCATAAATGACTGACTGGTTCGTGTTTATTAGCTAATGCAAAGACAGCTTTTTGTAGTTGAACAGTTGTATGCGTAGGAATATGGATAACGGAACGTTACGTTGTCATTACTGTTTCCTAAGCGAAAACCAGCAGGCTGCCGTTCAAAACTTGTAGCGCAACATGAGTTAACGATATGCAGTTTCGCAGTTGCAAAGCCAGGGTGTCTGACTGTGTTCTTGTTACCCCGTCAGACCTCGGGGACTACCACCGGCCGAGGATCAACGGCGGCTCACAACGGTACCTCCAACGGCGCTGAGGGCACTCCCAGCAGGTAAGAACGATTTCCGCTCGGGGAGCGGCGACTGACGGCTGACAGATACCTAACGACCGACAAATGGCTGACAAACAGTCGACAGACGCCAGATGCTCAAATGGTCAGCTGGTGGACCAGCGAACCATCCCTGCAGTCCGCAGTGTGGGCAGGAGTCCGGGTTTGAATGAGCGTGATGGTGGCGGTAGTCGATGTTCACTAACAATGTCTTCAGAGAGCTCAGATGTCTTCAGCTGCTGGCGCTACCTTCTCACAATGGGTAGACATAGGGGCTGATAACGTTATCTCCCCCGAATAATGGAATAATAAATGAACCGATAGCTCATATTCAGCACATTTACAAGACTTTGGGTATATCGACAAAATAGAGAAATAATAACCAACTAACCATATTTTTAGATTGGTCCAGACCGTAAGAGATAAGGCATTTGTTTCCGTTTAAACTGTGAAGTACCGGCACTGCCCCGTTATTCCCTACCCGTACCGCGTAGCCACTAACTCGCACTAACATTCTAGGAGCAAGGTACCGCGGCGACCCGCCTCCGCTGCGTCCCTGACACCAGGTGGCTCCAGCTCAAGGTACCTACTCGCTGGTTTTTACGTGTAGTTGCTGATCGAACAGCGTTACTTAGTAGGTACATACATTTACCGCGCGTTACCTTTCAAAGGATGCTTGAACTATGGTTCCTCCCCAAAAGACGGATATTTTATGTCAGTTGAACGACGAATGGGATTTCAAACGACCCTAGTCATTGCTGCTGCTACTTAAAGAACGGCCGACAAATTTGAGTAACCCGTATAGCCAATAACAGACTAATCTAACCATCGCTGGAATGGCCAATACGCATGTTTTGCCCTGCGCTGACCGCCTGTGCCGGCTGCTGTGTGCGCTGAGTGACCTCCGCTGACCTCTGCTGACCTCTGGTGACCGGGCTGACCCCGCCGCAGGAGCTCCACGCCGCAGGGACGCCGGCCTGTCTACAGAACGTCCTCGACACAGAGCATCCCGGCCTCGCTGAGTGCCACGCCGACTAACCGTAACCCTGTCAGGTATACTAACGAGAAACGACCGGTAACCGCTAATGGATAGTGGATACCGCCCGGGCAACGATAGCAGCGCCCCTAGCGACTATCAGCGCAGACGCTCCGCATGAACCCGTAACGAGGCCAGAGTTAGGTTCACGAGAAGGCATTGGAGATGGAAAGGATTTTACTGATGATAAAATGCGAAAATGTTTTCAATCCAGCCTTTCTTGTTCATCCAACGGCACATGCCCACTTTCTGCCGGCTAATGTAAAAAATAATTTCATGCTGGTTTGCGAGCTTGACTCTGGCCTTTGAATGTTCACCGATAATACGATTTTGCAATGCATTACGTTTCTAAAACCTTAAACTAACGCTAGGAACTGTTCGTCTTTCAACAATCTTTGACAAAATAATCTCACTGACTGCCTAATAATTGCATTTTCTGATTTCAATAACCGTTCTGTCGTTCGTACCCCGTCTGAGACCATGCGTTTCTTTAAAGGTAGACTGCCACCTTTTTTTCACAAAACGGTTTTCACTAGAGCTGAGCCACCTATGTCCCAGACTGAAGTCGGTTTTCCGAAATTCGAACCCGTTTGCGAGAAATCGGAGACCAAAGTTCAGTTTGATGCCATTTTTTTAGTCCAAGAAAACCGACATCTCTACTGTTTATCGATAACTTTGAAACATGAATTTTCTTATCTTTTGGCAAATATATGTCAAAACTTTGATTGTTTCGAGATCAGAGAAGAATTTTGGAGTGTCAAAATAAAAGTTAAACTTATATGTTCAGTAGTTCATTTTTTCCAAAAAAGTGTGGGAAATGGGGTTTAACATGGGCCAGACCCATTCCAAATGAGCCATGATTTTTAAATGTTTTACGAAGTTAAATGCAAAATAAATTAAACATGGCCAATTTCTTATGAAATCATATATTAGTAAATCATAAAATACCTTACTTTTTCAAATAAAATGTAATAATCTTATGACCTTGAAGCCTAGTGATGTGTAAACATTGTCGCTAGACATTAACCGATTGATAATTGTATGATAATCGATAATTTTTTCGCGATTCACGTGATGATACTTTGTCAGGTGAATTCTAAAATTTTGTTTTATCCAGGGAATAAATCATAGGCCGATCTGAGAAAACTTTTTGAAGGTGGCAGTCTTCCTTTAACCCTGCCTGTCTGACCGGCGACTCTGGCCTGCGTTTGACCCCACTAATGAGCCACTAATGGACCGTTTGACAGCGCGGTGGGTGGTCGACTCAGTCGGACCAAGGCGGCCTCACAGACCAACCTCAGCTCGCCCTCGGCGGGCGCGGGTGCGTTCGGAACGCCCAACGGCAGGGGCGTGGCCCAGCCCGTGCTACGGTTGGTCAAGTACGTCCGAGGGGCCGCCTAAGTGGCCTGGATACATTGGATGTGTCCAGGGCGACGGCGATATTATTAAAGGACGAGTTGCACCAGCACTAACCTTGTCTGTCATGAGTTGTAATTTTAGGACGCATCGAGATCCAATTAAATTGCTTTCATGAATCTTGAGTGACAAAATCATCCAGATTTACTCCCCATGCATTGGCTTGTTCTATTGCATTATCCAAAACATGCCAAAACTAACCGATAATATTGTGACGGGTTTTCATTATTTAATGGACAGTTTAACTGTTTCTGACCAGCGGAAGGGATCGACATTTAGGTACAAGCAGCAGATGCCAGTCAATTCTAACTTGTACTATGTAATATGTAATCCCTCACTGTTCTGAATAACATGTTTCATTGCACCCTAACATGCAACTCCTGTCTCTGTCTCTGGCTAACAGCCAACTGTACCAAAGTGGCATGAGTCGCACTATCAATCTGTACCTCTTTTCCAGGCCTGGCACTAGTGGTTCTCAGATTCCTGTGTCAATGAAGAGGTAATTATTCACAGCGTCGACAGGCGTCGACGACGCCTTTCAGCACGTAACATTTCACGCTAGGAACGTAATTTTCTGCATTATCTTGTGATCAGTAATGCACGCTAATTCATGGTCTCCTTCCCTGCATGTTTTTTCTTCTTTTTGCAGATACGACCGATCCAATTGATGTGTTTTTACGCGCACATTATTAATTGCTTAGGAACTGTGTAGCATATTTCTTTTAACTTTTTGTTGTTAATTACCTCGCATGCGTAATATAAACAGATGAGGAAGACATCTTTTGGCAATTGTCACTTATGATGTGCCTTTGATTGTGACGAAAGACAAGCGATGCCCGATAGTGACCAGTGTCCCTAAATCCGGTGCTAAGCGCCTTTTATTCGTTCGAATGCGGTTAGCAAAGTTACTGAGTTATGTGCAGCGTGCGATGATGTCCCTCGTATCAGGTTCCCCCAATTTCTCGAATCCTTGCTCCTCTTTTGCCCGCGTTTATAAATTGGAACCTCGTGCTGTAAGGTGCAGCATACCACGACAGGCATAACTGCTAGCGTCATCTATTAATGAATGGCAGAAAATAAAAGCACTGCGGCGCAGCATACCACCTAAGGTGATATCACTAGTGACATCTAGGAGCAGGGGCGGGAAACACCCAACTTTGATCACCTCACAACCGGTTCGTGGTGACGTCACTAACCGCTCTGTGACCTTTCTCTCCGCCCGGCAGGGAACGATCGGCCTCCAAGATCCAGCGGAGGTCGTCAGCGGCCAGCGACACGGCGCGGGGACAGGCCAGAAAACCGCTGTGGCACTGACCTACCGTGACACGCGCCGAGCGCGCACTTCGAGAAGGGACCACACAGCAACACACACACATACACACGGCGCGTCCGGACGACTCCGGCAGCGCGGCGGCATAATGGCTCGGACTAACACGGCCCAGCGCACCTCTAACTGTCTTTCTGTCGAGTGGGCGCGCGACACGGCGCGCCCGTGCCGTTATTTTTACTTACTGAGGGCAGCGGGCGCAACGCAAGACGTGCAGGGCACTACCAGACACTAGCCGAGCAGACTAACCGTAGCTGCCCGGTGTGCACTGACGTGTACGGGTTTTCTAATGTTTTGTACGGGCCGTGGCGCAGCTCGCCCCGGCCGGCGAGATACCGTAGCACCGTCCAGAGCGATGTGATTGGCGGAGCGCCGCGATAGCCCGCTGTGATTGGCTGCTGTTGCCCGTGACGTAAGGCAGCTAACGGCGTACGAGTGGATGTGGTGTGAGTGATGTGTGGATGAAAGTATATGCGATTGGTGGGGATCGAACCCACGTTATTGTAGCGTGAGAAAGTGTTGGTCGCGCTAATGTGACCGTAACGTTCTAATCAAATGATGTATATGTAACATGTGCGATGTCCAGTGAACCGCTTGAAATAAACCGTTTGACCAAGA